TGATGGCCTCTAACCTTCTTTTATTGTCTGAACTTTTGTTGAAAACTGTTTTTCTTGAAACTACAGTCCATAAACTTCTGGTAAAAGTCATTTTCACAAAGTTTAGCCCACTTTACGGCCAGAAAGTTCACTTTGAAGTCGATTTTGGCCTGAAAGTTGAGGTTTTTGAGGTTCTAGGCCTTTTTTGGGAGGACTATCACCGTTTACTGTTGTCCATTTGTGTTTCATCACGCATCCACATCTCCCAAAGGTCTTCTGAAACCTAAAGTACAAAAATCTCATTTACCCATCAGCTGAAAAACTCAGTTTTAAGACGATTTCGGCCTGAACGCAGTGTTTTTTGATAATCAACACTTCTTTTGGGTAAACTGTCACCGTTTCCTCTTTTCTGTTGGTCTTTCACGTGGTTCCTGCATCCACCAAGTTCATTTTGAAGTCTGAAAGTTTTCGTTTTAGCCTACCTGTCGGCCGGAAAACTCAGTTTGAAGACAGAACTGACCTGTTAACAGTCTTTTTGAGGTTCAATGCTTTGTTTTGGACTCGCTATCGGGTTGCAACGCGTTCTTTCTATCGTTCCTTTTTTTATCAGAACTTTTTTAATAGATTCCGAAGCCCAAAAGAATGCTCACTTCAGATAAGCTTTGAGAACTTTCTGGGGAATTTTTCGAAGAACCCTTTTCCGCCAATAAACAAAGAAATAAAGAAAAGAGAAAAAAAACTGAATATAAATAACCCCGAAAGGCCTTCTTGCGGCACAAAATTATCTCAACCTGAGACAAAATATGGTATACTTTTTCTAGCGTTCCAACTTCACTGATAAAAATTCTAGGCTCAAGATGCACCCTACACAAAATTCAAGGCGACAGGTAAAAATATATCGTCGAAATAGAAGGTCGCAGTATTTGTGGGTAGAACAAAAATCAAAGGAACGATAGAAAAAACGCGTTGCAACCCGATAGCGAGTCCAAAACAAAGCATTGAACCTCAAAAAGACTGTTAACAGGTCAGTTCTGTCTTCAAACTGAGTTTTCCGGCCGACAGGTAGGCTAAAACGAAAACTTTCAGACTTCAAAATGAACTTGGTGGATGCAGGAACCACGTGAAAGACCAACAGAAAAGAGGAAACGGTGACAGTTTACCCAAAAGAAGTGTTGATTATCAAAAAACACTGCGTTCAGGCCGAAATCGTCTTAAAACTGAGTTTTTCAGCTGATGGGTAAATGAGATTTTTGTACTTTAGGTTTCAGAAGACCTTTGGGAGATGTGGATGCGTGATGAAACACAAATGGACAACAGTAAACGGTGATAGTCCTCCCAAAAAAGGCCTAGAACCTCAAAAACCTCAACTTTCAGGCCAAAATCGACTTCAAAGTGAACTTTTTGGCCGTAAAGTGGGCTAAACTTTGTGAAAATGACTTTTACCAGAAGTTTATGGACTGTAGTTTCAAGAAAAACAGTTTTCAACAAAAGTTCAGACAATAAAAGAAGGTTAGAGGCCATCATCCAAGGCGAGTCTAAACGCTGGGACCCCGAGTTGCGCGCGATCGGCGCGATTTTGCGACATGATGGGTATCTCGAAATTTTTTCAATGTGGTATTTTTTTGAAGCTAATGACCTAACACATCTCTTAAAGAGGTAACTTTAACGGCAAATAACTATTGTGAGTAGGGTGACCAAAAAAACCAAAGTTGCGAATACAAAAAAAGTACCGTATCTCAAAAAAATTTCTACAGTAACCCAAGATGGTATGTATTGAAAAAAATTCCTAAAATTGCATTACCTATCGATTGATATACAACTTGCCTAGAGAAAAACTTGTCAATTCTTAGATACGCAGGTGACCATCTCCCTACCGTAACCCGATTACGGTTGGAGGAAATGGCTCAAAAAATCGTATCCGCAATCCTGACGTCATATAATAACACTGGTTGAAATTTCATTGAGATCAAAAAATATTTTTTTTTTCTGTACCCGTTGATTTTGAGAATTACAGAGACTGCGTGTTAACTCATCTCCTCATTTAAGTGGGAAAAATAGAATATAATTTATTGGAGTATTTCCCAATTTATTTCAAAGTTTTATTTTGGACCTGCTCGAGGTCTGGGCCGAGTCCGACAGCAGTGAAACGCCGGAACGACCCTCAGACGATCGGAGCAAGCTCCGGACCCGTCTTCGGCTCCAAAAATGGAATAACCTATCATATCGTAGGTTAATACGATAAGAACGGTAACTACAAACTGATCTTAGCCAAAAGGCCGAGAAGCGATACTAGAAGGAGGTTGGGAGGCGCCGAGACGCATGAGCGCTCTCCCTTGTAGTTTTTGACGCGGATCATTAAAAATCTTTTCACGTTCAACATTTATTATTGAAAAAAATGTTTTAGCGGTCGGGAACCTTTTTTCTGACGAAGCCATCATCCTGAAAAACAAAAATACCTCTTTATTAGAAATCATGGCTAACCCATCTGTTGAGCGAGCAAAATTCTCTGTTTCTCGGCTTCTTTTTCTGCCAAAATGTCCGCTTTCTGTTTTTCGCCTCTTTCGTAGTCGATCATCCCTTCTAGCGCTTGCTCTGCGGTCATTGACTGTAAAATCGGATTTCAGAAGTTGAAGGAGGGACCAATTATTGATTTTTTTGATTTATCTAACTCAAAAAAAAACTTCTTATTTTTCTTTTGAAGGCCGCCGTTCAGCTTCAAAATTCCTATTTTTGCTATTAAGTTACTCAAAAAATAATTTTAAAAACAGAAAAACATACAAGTTTTCTTTTCGCCGAAACGGCCAAGAAGACCAGAAATAGGAGAGCGAAAAGGCGCATTTTGAATGAATTTCCCGTGTCCCTATTAATTTTTATACACTCTCCTGCATTATTCGAGCTCCCAACAATCATTTAAATAATATTGAACTTTTATCAAAAAATGTGAAACTAAAAAAACGATTTCCATGAATTGGAAAGAGAATTGATCGAAAAAACTCTGTATAATTGAAAATTCAAAGTAATTATGGAGAAAAAAAAGATTAAGAGTTCCAGGAAACCACTCAAGAGACTTTTTTTAGAAACGTTTAGTTTTTTTAAAAAGATTTTTTTGAGAAGGAGAGATGTTTTCAAACTTTTTTTCAACTAACTTCAAACATAGAAAAATTAAATAAAACTTGAAACTAAAAAAACTTTCGGAACGAAAAATTTGAAAAATAAATAAAAATTGAACTACTTTTTGTGAGCAATCGATCGAAAAATTTCAGCAATCTGATAGTATTGCGGGACCACGATCGGGGTATACTCTGGGCTGTTAGACGAAAAAGTGAAAAAATATGAAAAAATTGACAAAAATCAAAAATAAAGCCACTTTTTCAAATTTCGCGGGCGAATTTCGAGAAGTGCGCAGACTTTGCCGAGTTTCAAACTCCTTGCATTTTCTTCAACTGGCAGAAACGCCGTGTGAAATTGAAAGCAAAAGCTCAGTTGTCGTAAAATAAAACGCATTGTGTGCAATTTACAAATGCGTGACCACGTACATGACTCCTACCGTAATCTTTATCCTTTGGCATTCTCGATTTTTATTTGAACCGAATTTTTTGTCAAAGTCCGTAAAGTCTTAGACAAATCCTCGCTTGCAAATTTACTCATCTTCTCATTTGAGTCGGGAAAAATAAACTAAAATTCAATATATTTTTTGACCCCTCACGCGGTCTGGGCCGAGTCCGACAGCAGTGAAACGCCGGAACGACCCTCAGACGATCGGAGCAAGCTCCGGACCCGTCTTCGGCTCCAAAAATGGAATAACCTATACAGAGCTCGATGAGCTCATATCGTAGGTTAATACGATAAGAACGGTAACTACAAACTGATCTTAGCCAAAAGGCCGAGAAGCGATACTGGACGAGGGTTGGGAGGAGTACTTGTATCTCAGCGTGTCCCGACTCGATACGGTTTGGCGCCGAGGCACATGAGCGCTCTCACTTGCCGGGACCCGATTTGACTACATGAAATTTTTAGAAAATGTTGAATTTTGGATATCATCACATTGAACCAGATAAATTTAAAGGCATAGGGACGGTAAAAAACGGTGTTTCAGTTCAAAGCAGTACTTTGTAGAGCTTTTCATTGCGAATCGAACGGTGAACTTGGAAACGTTTCGAACTTCCTAGTTTGGGAGGAAAAGTAGTTCGAAGTTGGAGAGAGGAAAGTTTGAGATCCTGCCAAAAGGGCGCTTTGCAGTAAAGTTGCTCTACGGACAACAGGCTTCGCCGTCTTCCGGATTTTCGCTTTTTTCTTCGTTTCTTTCAATTTTCAATTTTTTCTGTTGTCACAAAATCTTTCTATTCATGTATAGTTTGCAAACTTTAATCGCAAAAACGCTTCTTTGGTGAAAAATGATGATTTTACACAGGTTTCGATTGGGATAGCGATTATTTGTGTTTTCTTTATTATCAATATGTTTTTTCTGTTTTCTAATCGATTTTTCAGAGAAGAAACCCTTAATTTGAAGCAGACAGCCGGTTATTTCTCACAAAATGCGAGTCTAATGAGACGTCCGCAACATCGCGTGCACGGCTACTGTAAACAGTTGTCCGTAGGCCGATCCAAAGCTTTTTTCAAAAATAAAGGCGGGAAAGTAAAATCGCGTTTTTCTTCTAAAATTGTCACATCTGTAATTTTTTTGAGTACACTGTTCGATTCGCAAAGAAAAACTATATAAGCTACTGCTTTCACCTGAAACCCCATTTTTTACTGCCCCTATGCCTTTAAGCCTTTTGATAAACTTGATAATTAAAAAAATAGCCGATTTCTGATTAGCTTGGGACTCAAAAAGCGTGGCCTGTCTGCGCTCTCCACCAACCAAACACTCTCTTTTGTTTATCGTGTCAGGAGCCTTTGTTCAATAGTTCGGTGAATCAGCAACAAAATCTGATTTTCAAGAAGTATTGGTGGGAAAATTCAGCGAAAGCCATCAAAAACATCAAAATGCTCTTCAAACCATTCGAGGGAATTAAATTAAGATGGTTTATAAGGTCGGGTCCCGGGTTTCGGAACAGTTCTCCTCGACTCTTTTCCTTCCTTCCGATTCAGGATGGTTCTGATCCAGCTGTCTTGTTGGCGATGGTGGTCTTCCAGATTATCAGCGTCGCTGCTCAAATCAAAGAATACTTGGTTTCTTTTTGAATTTTCTAGGTTTTCCCCACACAGCAAAAAAATTTTTCCGAGTTTTGATATTTAAAAGTTCGTGTTAGACACAAAATTAGACCTAAAATTTATTCAAAACTTCGTTTTTTTACCACTGAAACTTTTTTTTAACCTTACCTCTAACTTCTGAAGTTACTAGCTAGCTCCTCAAGCCTCAAATTGTACAAAAAAATATCTTTTTTGTTTTCTAGTTTTTTTGAGTTCACAGTGAGACTTCCCAATGTTACTAGGTTCACTAGAAGCAGCTTTTCACCCGATTCCAAATCTGTGCTTTAAAGTGACCAGCGAGGTTTGTGAAAAAAAGTTAGGGACTCTCAAAGTCGAGTTTGGTTACTTTTTATTATTTTTTTCTATCCAATAGCAGAAAAAAACCCTCCAGAATAATTTTGCATTTGGACTGAAGATTTTAAAATTCCAGGTTATAGTAGAATTCATGACCTATTCCGATCCTAACCGACCTTTTTCAGGACCAAAAGAAGACCGGCACCAAGAAAGTTTGCTGGAACAAACGCTGCCCTCACTGTGGTCGCCCCTGCCCGGCATACGGACCTCGTCCAAAACCTGGATCTTCTCGCAAGCCTCCCAGGCGCTAATTTGGATTTTTGGCCAGAATAAATAATTTTCAATTGCAAAGAATGTTCTGTAAGCATTTAACATTGAAAAATTATATATATTTTTTTCAAAAAGGCAGATTTTTGAGATTCGAGTTATTGGAAAGACTTACTGTTCACTTCTGAAGAATAATAATAATAATAACAATAATAATGTATTCATCCACAAGGTGAAAAAGAATGAATAAGGTTTGAAGCCGGTTTTTGGGGGAATTCAAAAAAATTATCTTATATGAGGACTAGTTTTTCCAGTTTTAGGGTTGGAATATCATCGTTCAGAAGCAGATAATAAAAAGGTCAAAAATTATAATTTGAGATTAAATTATCTCACTAAAAATCCTTGAAAAAAACCTTTTTTTGTTGGCATTTTTTTCAATTCAAAAGTCTTTTTGAAATTGTTTCGATAAATTTTTGAATTTATGTATCTCGGCAATGTTCCTTTGGTCGTAGCACTGCAAAATATCATCTTTTTTTTTCAATTTTTGAGCCTCTGAATATTGTAAAAGTTTCTGTTCTAAGTCAGAAAATATGAAGCATCTTTCTTCAAAAATTGCGAAAATTCATCAGAAGTGGGAAAAAAAATAATAACCATAGCGTTTCCGTCGGTTCAGACAACGATAATTATCCTACGAACTACTAATTTACTTTACAAATGTTTGTTATTCATCAAAGTAGAGCGGGTTTCTCAACTTCAATAAACTCCGTTATCTTAATGGAAGTTATGACCAAAATCATAACTATCAACAGTACAATAATATTTTCTATGATTTCTGTCAACTTCACTTCGTCTCTGATTCTTCAACCGTTTTACGTTTATTTATTTTTTCAAGGCAGAAAGGTGGAAAAGCAGGTAATACATTTTTTCATGTTTATTTGCGTATTGAAATCAAATTTAGTTTTGGAAAGTAAGAAGAAAGCGTAGGATGCAAAGCTTACAGCTTTAGGAACTTCAAACCATAACTTTGTGAACTTTTGAACAGTAAAAAAGTAGAAGAAAAAATGGCAAAAAGGTTTCTGCGTTCGGGGGGAATCGAACCCCCGTCGAATGCTTGGAAGGCATCCATGCTGACCATTACACCACGAACGCGCCTGTCGCTCAAGGGCTGCGAAAACGAACAGGATAACGCGCTGCTTCTCAGTTATATGCTTCATTGACATTATAAATTAATTTTTTTGAAAAAAATTAACTTCATTCAACTTTATTTTTGTCATGGTATGCATTAATACTGAAAAATGAAGGTTTTTTCCTCAAAGTTAAATTTTCAACTTTTTTAATGGGAAAATTCTCAGATAAGCTTTTCAGTCGCTCGTCTACCCGCTGATGACCCAACTATTCATTATTTCTTCTATTTGTTTCATTCAAACGGTTCTCGTATTCATCGCGACAGTATATATAGTCTCTTTAAATTTATCATTATCCGCCGCGAAATCCATCGATGACAAAATGTTGAGCATATTCAACAACGGATTTGAATTGAAAGACATTTTGCGGATTTTGTATATATTTTGCGTCTTTCTGATGACTTTCACAGTAACTTTTGTGCGACAATATTCGTCCTACGTCGTTTTTGTGCTGGCTCTTCAGCGGCTTTTCGTGTTTTATTTCGCGAGAACGCGTCTTCGGCGATTCGTGACAGGGTAAAACTATTTTGCTTGTTTTTTAATTTTTTTTTGGAAATCTTTAGAAAAGCTCTGCGAAGAATATTCATCTCCGTCATCTTATTGTGCATTTTCCAACAGTTATTCGTTGCTTATTATACCATCGCATTAAAAAATTTGCGGTTTAAACTGGTGGGTTTTCGGTTTTTTTAAGTGATGAAAGATGGAGAAAATAATCGTATCTAGGCAGTAAAAAAATAGTAATAGAAATCTTTTTAGAAGTGTATTTAGAGCCGAGCACATTCTTGCAATTCACCGTTTCAGTGCTAGGTTTTGATATCTTTCATAAAAAAAAAATAAGATTAATAGTTTTATTGATCAAAAGGCTATATTTCAGTCTTGATAAAAAAATAATTCAGTGCGAAAACTTCATTCACGTAGATTCATTTCAAAAAACCTAGTTGAAGCGAAAAAAAAAATTGCTTTGACCGCACGTAGAATGGCTAAGAACTTGGCTTTGCGATGAAAAAAGCTTTCACTGATAATTTCTGACATCCAAGTGCGCAAGTCCTTTTCTATCGGGTGCGTTTAAAAAAAGGTTCGGAAGAAAATAGAAAAAAAGATATTTTTTTAAAATCAAATAGATATTTTTTTATTGATTAGATCTTTAAGATAAGGGAAAAGTACATAAAAGATCGATGCTACGACAAGAGCGACTTTTTCATTTTCGAGGAGTACGGTATGTCAAAGTCCGCATTTGACGTTTGCGTGTTTGCACTTTTTAAGTGATTTTCGCGTCTTTTTCCCAGTTTTTATCTGAATTTTATCGAAATCGAATAAAACAATAGGAAAAAGTTGAACTAAATTTTTCATACTGACTTAAAAAAGAAAAACTTTAACAAAAATTTTTAACAAAAATTTTAAAAAAATGGAGACGGTACCACTCAAAATGTGCAAACACGCAGACGTCAAATGCGGACTTTCGGATACCGTACTCTTTAAACAAAATCTCGTACTTGTCGCAGCACAAAAAGATCAATTTTCATAATTTTTTCCTCGTTCCGAGTAAACTTTATCGAAAAATAATTTCAGAACGACTTAATCGAATCGTTTCTCCCGTTTTTGGCCTTCTCAATGTATATACCAATGTACATTCGGCTGAGAAAACTGTCCAAAATGCAAAGTTCTGGGAAAGATTCCGAGCAGGTCGTCATCCTCCAGCAATCTTTCCCCTTCGTTATTTATAAAATGGTGGGGTTTCGGAAAAATTTTGAGCGAAAATCTTAAAATAACCTACAAAAAACAATACTTCACTCCCCTCACATGATCAGATAAATTTTTTGGCGAGTAACAAAAAATCGAAAAATCAAGAAAATGTGGTTTTTGTCAATTTTTTTGCCTTGCTTTTAGTTCAAAAAGCTTGATTCAAGCTCAAATCGGATTTTTTTTTCAGGTGCAATGTAGGTTCTTATGAAGTTTGAGAGCAGCTTTTGATGAAAAATCGAGAAAATTTGAAGAAAAAAAAAAGCGAACTTCAGAAGTTTCAAGATCAGATTTTGAAAATGCAGCCCTAAAAATGTTCAATTTTTGGGCCAATAAAGATTTTAAAAAAGCCGAAAAAAATCAAATTCAAATCTAAAAAAACCACAAAAAAATATAAAAAAATCCTATAAACATTCAAAGAGGCCTAGTTATCCAAGAAAAAAAGTTTAAAAAAATGAATTTTTTTCAGACCCGCATTCTCCGTACGGCAGTCTGTCCCTTTCTGGAAGCTGAAAAAGGCCCATTTTTGGCCAACCTCTACATCCTTCTGAACTACTCGCTATTCATCGATTTTTCCTATCTCTGTACAGTTCTGCCGCTTTCTTACATCCTCGGGAGCAAAGAAAAAAGAGATCGGGTTTACGGGCTGATCCGTCGTTCCAATAACCATTCTTCCAGTGCCAATCATATTTCCGTTCGAACTTGACGGGAAAAACAGGAAAATTGTTTTTCTCAGTACTTTTCTCTTTATCTTTCAGTTCTGAAGCCTTGAAATGGACTAACTTCTGAGAATTATCCTTTTGAAGTGAAAAATTATGTCATTCAAAATTGTCATCTCTGTTTTTCAAGACGATCAAAATCAAAAATTGGCTAAAATTCGAGAAATCCCGAGTTTTTCACGAACTTTTCTTTTTAGTGAAATTTCTGAAGCCTTGAAATTATTCAGTTATTAAATTTTATTCTTTTGATGGGAAAAATTTATGTCATTTAAAAATTTTCATCTCTGTGTTTTACGGTAGTCAAAAAGCAGGCATTGATACAAATTTTGAAAAAAAGCTAATTTTTTTGAGTTTTTTTGGAATATTCAATTAATTTTTTTGAAATTCTCGTGAAGTTCTATCACTTTTTGAGTCTTTAAAAAGTCTTCTTGATGTCTGATTATTTTGTTGAAGCTTTAAAAATTAAAAAGATATCTGCCCTTAAAAAAACGTTTTGAGCTTCTATTCAAAGCCGAACATATTTTTTTCTTTGAAATCCGGAAACGTTTAAAGCTCGATTTGTGACGCAGGTGATGCGCCTGCGTACACAATGCGAGGAAATGAGAATATTTGTTATTGGGAATAAAATGTTCAGAAAAAAAGAAAGAAAACATTTCGGGCGAATTGCTCTATGGTCTTTTTCACGGTGAAAATATTAAATAAAATAAATTGAATGCCGTGTTCAAAGTAATTTCTCCGAAATTAGAAATCATGTCAGGCTCTCAAAAATTCAGTTGTCTTTTTCAATATCTAACGGCTGCTTTGATTTTCGGAAAGTTACTTTGAACACAGTATAACGTAATGTGAAGCGTTACGGCGCAATCTTCACCAATTTCCTAGACAGCGCGACGCATCGGCGTTCGTGGTGTAATGGTCAGCATGGATGCCTTCCAAGCATTCGACGGGGGTTCGATTCCCCCCGAACGCAGAAAACTTTTTGCCATTTTTTCTTTTACTTTTTTTCTGTTCAAAAGTTCTTAAAATTATGTTTTAAAGTACCTAAAGTTCTCATCTCCTCAGTTTTCGTTCGATTTATTTCTTTTCAAAACAAATACCAAGTATCAAGAAAAAGAACTCTCTTTTGAACATGTTTTCTTGCAACAAGAGATATATATTTTACGATTTTTTTATTATATCAACGATATATTATTTTGCTCATTTTTTCCAACATTTTTTTTGGGTCTTTGTTCAACTATAAACAACATGTCACAGTGGGGTAACCGGATCAAGAGAGAGGAATACGCGTCCAAAAAAAATGGGGCAGAAGAAGAAGATAACAATAAATTAGCTAACCGGAGCACAACAGTATGATAATCCCAAGACCAAAAAATGGCTACCGTAACCGAGAAATGACATCTTGAAGAATTTCCTTTTCGGCGGTCAGAAGAGGAGACAAATTGGCAACTATCCAACAAAATGCAGAACAATAAAAAGGTTCTTAACTTTCTTTTTTTCTCGAATCCCATAGGCAGACCCGGCAAATTAAAAAGAAACCTCAATAAGGGGGGAACAAAACTCGTTGAAATTATGGTTCCGGTAGGGCAATATATTGGACTAGGTATTGCTAAGTCAAGGGGGAAAGCCTCAATTTTCTTCCAACAACGAGGAAAATGACTATTCTACAGCTATCGATGGAATAATCGAAAAAAAAAACACTCGCTGAGTACACACAAAGGGAAAAAAGGAGCGGAAGTAAACTATTCGGACGAGTAGAAGCCAACCTGTACAGGGAAAAGAAAGCTACGGCGAAAATCTAAGGAAAGGCCCAAGAGAGGAAGCGACACGGCTGAGGATACAAGTACAGGAGAAACGCGTTTTTTCTAGGCGACAGCTCGAGAAAAGAGGGGAAAATGCAGCGGATATGAGTTTTATTTTGTCACGAAAACAGTACAGAGGAAACCGTTGAAACTACGTATTTTTACAAACAAAATGTCTGAGAGAAGTTATTTACAATACAGAGAAGCGACCAACAGAGTTCATTTCACCTGGACAGAGGTGGTGAAAAGGTAAGGAGAGAGGAGAAGCCTTCAAGGCGTTTTTCGGGTCAGTTATAGGTTATTTGGGGCCTTTTCTCAGATGACAGGTATCCAGGTGGTCGAGTTGGGCGGCAGGTAAAGGAGCGTCGTTCTCGGAGTGTGGCCGGCGACGGTCACCGTCGGCTGGTTGTAGCTCGACAACGACACCTTCAAAAACGTTCCTGTTTGAGTATGACGAACTGATTGAGAATTCAAGGCACAAGGTCAGTAAAAAAGGAGTTTTGCAATATCAATGTCATCTTGTAGAGCCTTTCATTTTGTGAGGGGTCTAATTGAAATCGTACAGAAGTTCTCGCTTCTTAAGAAAAAAAAAAATTAAAGCGAAAAATAAAGTTAACAGCAAAGTTGCTCTAGGGATGAAATGGGTAATTTTTTTCCTGTTTTTTTTTTTAAATTCGCTGTCCGGAAAACCCCAGACAAGGATAGAGACTTTAAAAAATGGGTGATTAAAAAGAAAATAAGATTACGTAAGCAAGTTTCTGTACGCCGATCTCACTTGGCGCAAAATTGAAAATTCATTTTTGATAACTAAAAACTCTCTAATACCTCAAACCTTCTTTTATACTAACCATATGCCTTTGAAAAAGATTTCCCCATAGTTACACAGGCGTCACGGGAACGAAACAAAATAATCGGCTGTTTTCAAGAGGTCACTAGAGTGGAGCGACCCCTCTTAAGTCACCACTTGAAAAAGACCGACTACATGGTTTGTCCGCCACGATTAGAAGACCCCCTTTGAAACGAATCAAACAAAAGGACAGGAGAAGGAGTCCCTTAAGAGTGCACCTAGGATCGTTCAGAGGTACTGGCAAATTCTTGTGCTTCTTGAACGGACTCGAACTCGCATCCTTTTGCTTGATATTTTCTCAAAACCTGAAGAATTAAGCTTTTTTTTAGAGGAGAAATGAACATCTTGTAGATGTTCTAAAACGGAATTTTTGAAAGTTTTTTTTTAAACTGGGGCTTTCTTTGATTTTCAACCATACTCCAGTCATAGGCAGAGTCGGAAAGGGGGAAAAGGCTCCGTAGAAATGTTCCTTTTTGCTGCCTTTTTCCACCATTTCTTGACCCTTCAAAATCCCAGAAAAATGGAAGGCTCGATAAAGGGTCCCTTTTTGCTCCCCTTTTGCTGCCTTTTTGCTGCCTTTCTATAGCCTTTTTTGAGCCCTCCCTTTTAGCGGCCATTATCCACCATTCCGACTTTGCCCGAGGTACAACTGGGATTGTTTTGGTAAAGCCCCACCTAAATTCTGAATTTTCTATAATTCCGCTTGTCAGTGGAACCATTGCCCTCAAAAAACCCCAATTTTTCCGGAAATTTACCTGGAAGGCGACGCGGTCGATCATCGATAGGGTCTGACGACGTTCATGGCTCATCAGACAGACGGTGCTCTCGCTGATGACGCGATGGAGCAGCATCAAGAAGTCGTACTTGGCCTGGCCGGTGGCCAACAGGGACGACGTCGTCGCCTGCGACGTCGACGCTTCAGAATCCGTGTCCTCGCCGGACGACGACCACTGAAACAAGGTCATTAACGATGGAGAGAGAGAGGGATAATTAAGGTCCTTGGATATCTCCTCGTTGGGAAACGTCATGCCCGGAAGCTGGGCCAATTCGGTCAGACTTTTTTTTTCGCCTTTTCTGTTCCGCCGCTTTGTTTGGCTCGTTTCCTTCGCTTTATTTTCGTTTGCTTGGATGATTCCCAGAAAAAGTTGGAAGAGAGTAAAGTGACGTGAGGCGTTTTTTTCATGGTTGGATGCAGCTCGAGAATGAACATTCAGAAGTCGGATTTATACTTGGATAAGCCCCAGTTTATCGTTTTGACCTCGAGGGTTAGAAATCGGGAAAAAAAAACGCTAGAGCTAAATAAAAAATGATTTTAAGCTTCATGGTTGAAAATCGAAAAAAAAAATGTTAGTTCAGTCTTAAAAATAGCTTTTTCTGCATAAAGCTGCACGAGAAAAATTTGAAATCACAAAATCTGAAGAAAATTTGAAAGCTTTTGGTGAAAAATGTCAATAATGTCGAAACTTCATTAATTTTTTTTATTCAGCTTCAAAAAAGAGGTTTTTTCGACGTCTTACTATTTGAAAACTGGCTCAAATGACTGAAAAAAAGACATTTTTGATGAAAATTGGTAAAAGGAATACTTTAAGCTTCAAGCTCAAACAGGTCCCAAAACGAAAATCTCAAGAAAAGAAGAAAATTCAAAGGTTTGAATAGAAAAATTGACGATGATTATTTCAAAATGGACAAAAATTTTTTTTTCCCATTTTTCCAACTTCAAAAACCCCCTCTCAAACCCGAAAATTCCCCTATTTTCAAAGCAATCGAGGCTTCTTCCCCCCCATCAAAGAGCACCGAAAACGCTCTCATTTCCGCGATACATCCCAGTATGCCGAAACAAACACACATCGCTTGCAATTAATTGGTCCCGACACGAACAAAAAAACGAAGTGAGAAGAGTGTTTATTCGGGCTGAAATCGCAGTTGCACATGTGTGCGCAGCTGGGAATTCGTATCCGCTTACGGGGCCGCGAAAAGACGGACAAAAAAATCATTGAAATATACCGCGGCAATTTGAAAAAAAGAGAGAGAGAGACCGAAAAGGGCAATGATAAAGTGCTCAGCTGTTCGGAAACTTAAAAATCGCGGATTTTTTCAGGAAAAGATCGGGTTTTCCAAATAATTTCAAAGACTTTCGGTCGGAAAAATATATAAAATTGAAAATAATCGTTCTTTTCGAATTTTTGAGCGTTTACATATAGGAGTAGCCAAACACGATTTTTTCGAAAATGTTTAAAACCTCTTTTCCGTATCGCAAAAAGAGTATAAATTTCAAAAATATTCGTTTTTTTAGAATTATCGACTTTTTTTACAACATTTTTTTGAGATTTCAAAGTGTTCTGAAGATTAAAAAAATACCAAAAAAATCTAAAAAAATTTGTGAAAAAAATCTCAGTGGTTATTTTCATCAGTTTGACTAGAAAACTGAGGAAAAAAGTTGATTTTCAAAATTTTTCAGGGGTTGACTTTGGCATTCAAAAAATCTTATTCCATTTTTCATTAATTCCAAATTCCTAAAACAACTTTCCAACGACTCCTTGTCACATTATTCCACTAAAAAGAAGCCCGATTTTTTTGGTTTTAAATCTACATTCAAGACCCAAATATTGAAGATTAAAGTTAAGATTAAAATTTAAAAAAAGCCAAGGCTTATTTAAATTTTTTTTTTTGGTCAACTCCTCAACAGAACAGCTCCTACATATTTCCAAGAAAAACAGATCGATCTTTGTTTATTTTTTCTAAATTTCCTTTCAAGACCCAGATATCGAAGAACACATTTTTCCAATGGTTACCTGATCGGAGCCGCTGCCAAAGTGGCTCTCGAGATAGTTTCTCAATTTCTGTTCTTGGACCAAGACATCCGGAAAATCGATGAAGAAACGAGAGCACATGTATCTGGAAAAATAATTTTTTAAGCTTCAGAACTTTAATGAAGAATCAAATACTTGGTAGAAACTTACATAAAAAAAATGGAATCTTAAAAAGTATGTCAAATAAAATACTGGAAGTTTCAAAAAGTATAAGCCCGCAAGTATAAGTTACCTCTTAAGGACTTTAAAAGAAGTATAAGCCCGCGAGTATAAGTGACCTCCTAAGGACTTTAAAAGAACGAGTGTAAGTGGCCCCTTAAAGATTCTAAAACAAAAAGAAAAGCCTTTTTAAGATCCTTAAAAGGTGCAAGAAACTTTTCCAAGCTCCCCTCAAAAAAATAAACTTTATTTTTTTCGAAAATTATTTTTTTCAATACTTTCCATCACCTCAAAAAGGACATTTCCGCCACAAAAAAACCCCTAGAAGCTCATTTTCCTGAATCCCGTGAAATCGAAAAAATCGAAACCTCTCCAGCTGACGACACTTTCCGGGTTTCGCCGCCTTGTATCCGCGAATGATGAGATGGCAATATTTCAAAAGGCCGCCGCCACGGATTTCCTCCGGCTTTTTCGTGTCGATCAGACGCTCGTTTAAGTGGTTCATAGCCTGAAAATCCGAATTTTTTATTAACTCGATTTTTTTCGTGAAAAATTTTGCACTCATAAAAATCTTATAAGACTTCAAAAAGCTAAATAAAATTTTTTTTAAGCTTTAAAAAACTTTTAGGATCCTTGAAAGCGATAATCCTGAAATAATTAATGAAAAATATTTGTGTTTGTATATCAATTTTGGTTGAAACATTGAAGCTAAATAAAAAAAAAAATTTCACAGTGAAAATCAAAAAACGTGAAAAAATTTGACCAAATACATACATAGCCTTAAAATCTGAAAAAATTTGCAGTTTTTCAAAAAAATGATGAATTCTTCGATTTACCCAGGTTTCTGTACAAAAAAATCACGTAGATAAATTCATACTTTTTTTCATATTTCCAACAAAAATTTTTTTCAAAAAAACAAATTTTACAACCAGAAAAAGTTCAAAAATATTCACCAAATTTTTTTGATAATTTTGAAAAACCTCTGAAAAACTAATTATGAATTTTATTCCATCAAAATAACCTGATGAATATCGCCAAAGACAGATTCGATAAGAACAGCCGGCTCCGGGGCGTCAAACTCGTCAATAAGCGGATCGAGGCAAATTTGGAACGAATCGACGGAAAATTCGAATTGGCGCCTCATTCGGTCGACGAATTTCAGTTCGATGCACCGTCCGTAGTCGTTGTTGAGTGAGAAGAGAGACCAGCGGTCGTCGTCTCCGGAGACCTGGAAAATGGCGAGAATTCTGGATTTTCCAAGGGAAGTTGAAGATCCACGTGAGAGCTGTGTTAAAGGTGAAGGTGTTGGGTAAAAAATGAGAGGAAAGTTCCAGCTTTTTCGAGATACTTATTGCGGAAAATCCATAGGCAAAGTCGTAAAGGGTGGAAAAAGGTTCATTTTTGCCGCCTTTTTGCGCCATTTTCTCGGCCAGTATGCATCATTTTTGCTGCCTCTCCCTTTTTCCACCATTTCTTGAGCTTTTAAAAAGGCAGAAAAATGGAAGGCTCCATTAAGGGACTCTTTTTGTTGCCTTTTTGCGGCTTTTTTACGGCCTTTCTGCTGCCCTTTTGCTGCCTTTTTGAGGCCTTTCTGCAGCCTTTTTTGAGCCTCCCCCTTCTAGCGGCCATTTTCTACCATTTCTTTTGTCCTAGTTAGAATTTTCATTATTTTTAAACTTATTAGATATTCAAAAAATCCTTCAAGGTTTCCGGATTTTTTTTCTTTTCAAAGTTTCTCATGCTCAGTTTTTGCATGGGACAAACGTAATAGAAAAAAAATTCTTTAATTGATCACTAAAGTGAGAAAAAAAAGACTTTAGATAATTTATCAAGGGATCACTAAAAATGCTGATATTGAGCTTCAATCTCAACTTTTTGGAATCAGGAAAAAAATCTTAACAAGAGACTCTTCACTATAAATTTATCGATCAAATTGAAGAATTTTGTATGGTGACGTCACAAATTCAGGCGATCAGATTCAGACAAGCCATCAGGAGCAGGAAAAAACCTAAGAATCTATCCAATTTTTTTTTATGAGAGAAATAATTTCATTGAGGTCTTTACTTTAAAAAAAGCAATGGAAAATGACAACTTCTTGGAAAAAAAAAAATGTTTCGTTGACCCTGAAGAAAAGGAGATCCCTTACCTTGACCATTTTGCGGATGTAGACGTCCTTGAGGGTGTCGGCGTTGAGCTTCTCCTTGCTCACGCATTCCGGCATCAGGTCGACGATTGCGCTGAATACCGCTTCTCGCACCTGGAAAAAAGGTATTGATCAGAAGAACCTTCAAATTTTTACTTATCAACGCCAAAAATTGAACACTCTGACCTTGTCGAAGCTGTCGGAGTCGTTGGCCTCCATGGGGAAGATGAGGTCGACGTCGGCGTAGCTGAAGTCGTCGCAGGAGGCGACGAAGGACGCCGCCCCGCCGTTCAGCTTCACGCTCTTCGGCGGCGTGTTTCTCTCCCTGAAGGCCCATCTTACAAAAATCCATGTTTCTGATCTTCGCAACAAGAGTTCAAAGTGCGCCCCATGGAGAAGCCTCGTGTTGATAAGCGGCTGATAACCATCCGGGCGCTTGTTTTTCAGCTGCCCAAGAAAGGAGCAGAAATCAGTCCGGAAGTTATCGACAGAAACGCAGTTTGCTTCGGAAAACCAAAGAGTAATTTATTTTTCAGTAACAGACCGGACGTTGATCATTTCTAGTGATACCTTAAGGGGCTTCAAAACTCTTAAGGGATCCCTGGAATTTCTTAGAAACTTCCGGAGCTCGTCCGATATGAGTTACTGAGGTTTTAGTGAGTTCAAATCTATGCTCTTTTTAAAACTGATTATGATTGGTACGATCTTTAAAGTACGTGCAGTTTCCCTACGCGACAGTTTTTAGCTTAAAATGTGTTCAGAAAACGTTATTTCAGAGCCAATATTTTCTCAGAAACATCAATTGTGAGAAAAAAAACCCATAAAATTGGAAAAAGAACAAAACAAAATATATATTTTAAAACTTGACAGAAAACATTTTTGACAGCCTTTCTTTAAAGTATTCTGTTTGAAACTTAATTTCAACGGAATCCCTCAATTTTCAGATGCCTATTGAACGCTCTCACTATATAGAATTCAATAGAAGTAAGGCAAAAAAGTTCTGAAACCAAAAAACCCTTAGCGGTTCCGATCCCCCGACCCCTCGGACCATAACCAAGCTCACAACCCACAAAACCACACCTGAGCTTCTCGCGAACGCAGACGATGAGGTCGACAAGGCGAGTGGAGATGGTCGGGAAGTTTCCGCGTCCGTGGATGTCCACCTTCTCTTCCAAGACCGTCTTCAGCCGTTTCACCTGAAGATCAAAATCTGCTTCTGTATGTTGTTTGATCGAATTTCCAAACATCAATAAATAATTGTGGCCCAAAAAACGCTGTTTGGTTGGCTCAGGCCGTCAGTTAATCCCAGGCGATTTGAACGATTTCTGACCGATTGTCAGTCTTTTTCGTTTTTTATTTCGACGAAACTAGACAGGGAAGTAGATTTATTAGTAGACTAAAAAGCGCTCCATGGCTAAAAATTAACAAAAATATGAAATTTTCTCCAGTGTCACTGTTTTTTCGACGAGCTAGACTGGGAAATGGATTTATTAAGGACAAAAAAATGCACTTGTACGCTCTACGGCTAAAAATTCACAAAAACCGAAAAAATTCAATTTTCATTCTTATAGTTCGTTCTTATAGATCCCTTGCTGAATGTTCAAAGGCGTAAACTCATTGAAAAAAATTTTAAACGACTTTTTTATTCGATACTCTTTTCTGAAGAAACTCTATGCTCCTTTAATAACCACAGCAAGGATTTCTGACAGATCTGTACTAAACTATCAATGGAGCGAATAAAACAAAAGTTTCGCGGCTATTTTTTCCGGGCCAGATTTCCCAATGCTTTCAAAGGATTTTTTGCTTGTATTTATTTATTTTTTCGTTTTTTTTACTGCTGATTTCTTCTAATAATCTACCTAGCCTAATCCTTAAATAAGATCTCAAAAAATTCAACGCTTCGGCATCCAATATTTGTTTTCACAGCTTCAATTTTGAACGCCGCAGACAAAAGTGAAGATCATAAGTCATTCCGTCTGTGTGATGTCATGTTTTCGCCTTGGGGCCGCACTTTCTATTGTCCCTTTTTGGGGCCGGCTTTTTCGAGAACCTTTTCGAATAAAATGGGGTATTTTGAAGGGAGATAGAGAGAGAGAGCTAGCTGGAAAGGTTGTGCTCTGAAATATCGAGAGGGGTTGGCGAGCAATTAAATTCGAGTCGAATAGGACTGAAAGGTCAGGGGAGAGTTTAGTCGGCTTGATCGATGGAAAAAAAGTTTAAAATTTTGGAAAAATGATTTTTTGGGAATACAAGGAGCTGAAAAAGGTGTTTCCATAAAAAAAAATCAGGTGAAAACTTGCAGATTTTTTAAAAAATTCCTTAAAGGGTCTACATAAGGTTTCTGTAAAAAATTTCAGTTTTTATTGGTTTGGAAGTTAAAATTTTAAGTTCTATCCAAGCCTGAAGCTCACAATCAACACTAAAAACCTTCAAAAATCCATATCTTTGAAGAAATTAAATATCTTTTTTTCTTAAAAAGGTCTAGGAAAAGATCTGTAGTGAAATCTCAAATTTTGAGTACTACACAAGTCTAAAGCTCTACAACAACTTCTAGGAATCAAAAAAAAAATCATTCAAAAATCCCCAAGTTTCTAGAAAAAAATCCAAGTCAAAGCCAAAAACCCCCCAAGCTTTTGCCCAAGGTTAATAGATTCAGGATCGAGCCCATAATTTTCCAAGCTTCAATTACCCCACATCCGTCATTTTCAAACCTCGCATCATTTCAAAGGAGGAAAAATCCTCGGTTTCTTCATTAAAAAATCCAATTTCCTCTTTTCGTTTGAGATAATTTCGAGGGCTGAGCAATAAAAAATGGGAAAAAAACCAATGTTATGTTTGTCTGCCTGTGAGAAGCGGCAATTATCCAGGAAAAAGATACGCCCAAACAGGGGAAACGGCGTCAAAAAGGGAAGCTTCAAGGGGGGGGGGAACTATGGAAACCGGTATATTACAGTCCGTTCAGCTTATTCGCCCCCCTTCAAAGGCCACCAAAAAAAGAAGAAGAAGAACGGCAGATCTGAGATCATTTTATTGTGACGTCAGAGAAAAAAAGCCATATTTGTCTTCTTCTTTTTTTTTTTGAATGATTGATGACACTGATAAGGACAAGATATTAGGGGATTTGGCCATTATTTTTGGATAAATCTCTCAAATTTTCAGCCATTTTTGGCCTCTTTCTGCTACTACATTTCCTTTTTGAAGATTCAATCTTACTATTCAAAAAAGTAATTTTTTTACGTTTTTTTGTTTTTGTTTCTGAACCTAAATTTTCCATACCTTAACGAAAAGAATATTCAATTTTCCTTTCAGAACTTCCTGAGAAGCATAAAATAACTGATAAAAAAATGATTCTCAACTTGAAAAAAACGGCTAATTTTTTTTGAAAAATCTTCAAAAAGCTCTGAAAAAAACTTATAAAAAAAGATTGTAGTGACTTTTTTTCTACTTCTGGGAAAAATTTTTTTAGTGGCCACTATAGTAGTCAAATTAGTGGCCACTTAAGGGGTTGAAAAATTAGTGGCCACTATAGAGGTCTAAGTGCTACTACTAGACCACTAAAAAATTTGGGTGGCCACTTTAGGGGTCAATGAATTAACATAACTGATCCAATCTGTTTGTTTTAAAATTATCAGAGTTACTGGAAGGAATATTGGATGAAAAACTACTCAAGTGGCCACTAACTAGAGAACCTCTATAGTGGCCACTAAAAGGGAAATAGTGGCCACTTCAGTGTCCTCTCCAAGTAGTCATTGGCGGCCTCTAAAGTGGCCACTGAAAATTTTCCCAGAAATAATCGAAAAATTAGAATTTTTAAGAATTTAGATCTTCTTTTACCCCTCAAAAATAGTTTCCGAGTCCATTCATAAAAAATTTGCCAACAAGAAAAAAACATTTCCCTATAAGTTCATAGTTCTACCGCCTCGTAATCAACTTTTTTCCTCCCAAAATAGTTTCGCGCATTCAAATCTCTCAAACAACTCCGCGCGAAACTCCCATCCATTTACTTGAGAAACACTTCATCAAGGCGCCGGAATACTCGCGCAAAATCCCAAAATAGGCAATTTTTCATTGGGAATTCCTCGGGCGACACTTGTCCCGACAATAATCAAGCGCATGAGAGCCCTCAGGACATGGAAATGAGACGAAAATCTCACGTCATCCGGAAGATTGGCCAAATGGCTAGAGATCGTGACGATCGTCCAAAGGGCCGTGGGTTCGGTTCTCAGCAAGCAAAAATCGTATTTGCCAAGTTTTATTCTTTTTTTTGCATTTGAATAGAATTGCTCACGGTTTCTGAGGTTCTCTTCAACTTTATAGCTGTTTATTGGGAAAAAAAGCGAGGGAATTTCTCAAAGAATAAATATTTTTTTGTTCGTTTTTGAACTTCTCAGCAAAGATCAGCTAGTAAGAAACGTGAAAAACAGAATTTTGAAGAATTTTGAGCTGCTGATGCTTTTTTAATATTAAATAAATGAGTTTTTTCCGGACTGAGCATTTTTGGTCGCATTTGGAATGGCTCAAAGCGTTGCAGTTCAAGCTGAAGTTTCTCAAAACTTACAGCGTTTGGCGCAAGTCACTTTACAGTCGGGTGCACTTTCAAAGTAACCATTTTCATTTCAAACTTTTTCTTCAAGTTGAACTTTATCCTTCTCAATTCTTTTCAAGGAAAACCGGTTCTTTCTCGAAGCAGCGACGGAAAAAACTTTTTGATTGATGGGCCGCGAAAAAAAAGAAAAAAAGGGAACCTTGATAGCCGTTATCAAGCCAAAAAGCGTGGGGAAATTGCCAGAAGAAGGCGAAAAATCACATGATTCTTTATTTTTCGAGAACAAAACTAATGGAGAAGGAGACGCGGTTTGAAAGCCCTGCTATCACCTACAGTATTTCCTTTTTTTGAACCCGAAACAGAAAATTTATGAAATCGTCATTTCATTCTACTGGGAATGAAAAGAATTTAAAAAAATTCAAAATTTGACAAAGATGATATTCAAATGATTGAAAAAAGGATGAAAATTGATTTTTGTAAAGTAAATTTAAACGCGCCGTTTCAAGCCCATATAAAAAAAGTAGCATTAGGGATAACAATTATTATTATTCATTAAATGATTAATTTTAAAAAAATGAGATACATCAATTTTTTTGTCAACTTTACCTTTTTTTATACCCTTTTTTTCAAAAATTTCAAAATTCCACCTGTTCTTCCCCGGCCCATAAACGATCATTATAAAGTTTATCATTGATACCTGAGGTCTGGCGAGTTCCGCAGTGCTAGTAACAGGTTCCTGAGGTTCCTCCTTCTGTTGGCGCGGCATCCTGTGCGAGTGACCGTGTGGGGCGAGCTGAAAAGTCCATCTTCAGTATGAGAAACCGGAAAAAAAATATTTTTTTAACGTGGTCCTTATAAGCTTCAAAAAATGATCAAAATTCTTGAAGGTAGTGTCGAAATATCAAGCTTTTCAGTGATATTTTAATTTTGCCACTGAAATATATTCCCAATTTAGTGACCCATTGCGGCACTCCAAACTCGTGAAAATCGAAGAAATAATAATTTCTTTTCGAAGTTAACGATTGCGAATGTGAAATTACTGTAGTATAAAGCGATGTTCTTAACGAAAAATAAATTCATTATAACTAAAGGAGAACTATTAAAAAAAATCATAACTTCATAATTCCCCTTACAACTTACTTGGACATCTGGGAAGGGAATTAATAAACATTTTAAAAACATAAAACTTCAAAAAGGTAATCTAACCTAATAAAGCTTTTGGAATTGTAGATGAAACAAAAAAATAATTTCGAAAAAGGTTTTAATAAAGTCGCGGAAACCGTAAAGTCCTTCAACAAGAAAGAAAAAGAGACCCCGCGAGGCCAGTTGCCCTGAGGCTGTCGTCGTCGTCCACCGCTGTGTTGACCGTTCATTTTTTGAAGATTGGATGGTTTTTCGCTGGGATTTTCGTTAAAAATCTCCAGTTTGCTTAAAAACGCTCTTTTTTGTTCGGATTCAGGAAAATGCGAACAGTACGAAAACGCGTGAGGATTTGCGAAATGGAGGGTCAGAGAAAAAATTTTTTCAGAGAGAAAAACCACAGACTCATAAGAAATAGAAAAAATACCTAAAACATTAAAATTACAAAAAATTCTACTGCGACAAGATTACAGGTCAAAAATAGTCAAAACTGAAGAATTAGGACTGAAAAAAGAAAATTAGGAATAAAAAGCCTTAGAGCTTATGAAAACTTCAGAAAAATTCATATAAAGCATGCATTTTCCAACAAAAAGGACTTTACAAGCTTTTGATCGAAAAAATAATTTTTTTTATTAAAAGTGATTTTGAAGCTTAAAAAAGGCTCCAAAACCATAAATTAGGGTTAAACGAAACTAAAACCGAGGAACTTCCTCTACCGCAAGATATAATTACACTTTGGGACGAAGAGAACAAAGGTTTGCAGTCAGAAGAAACTGATAAAAAAGTGAAGAACTGCTAATCTTGCAACAATGGAAAGTTGATAAGGAGGAGAACGAGTTTAGAAATCAGAAATGTTTCGGTTTTTCTTTTTTTGAATGGAAGGAGAAGATTTCGAAGACAAACATGCATTGAAAAGATGGATAAAAAGTCTTTGTATTATTAAAAATTGTTCATTCCAAGTATAATCTGTGTACCACGGCTTGGAATTTTACCGAACGACATTCCGCTGTTTCGCCGGGCGCCTTTGCGAATCTCGGTCGCGCTTTTAATTATTTCCTTCATTCAAATACTCGCAGTGAAACGATCCATCTATCAGCAATAAAATAGTCTGGAAGGGTGACCTAGATCCGCAAAGGCAAAGACGCTTCGCGACCGTACGCAGCGGAACGTCGTTCGGTGAAAATTCAAGTCGTGGCACACAGACTATAGAACTATGTTTAAAATGATGAAATTGAAAGCTGGAGACTTGAGAAACAATCAGCTTGTTCTCGAGCCGGAGGAGAAGCCAAAAAAGCTCGGCCAACTTGAAACCTGTACCCCTAAGAAGTCGATCAAAGAACGGAAATGAGACAAAAAAAGAGATCAATTGGGTGGCAAATAGACATGGAAACGTTGCGGAATGCCACCCGCGTTCCACCGCTCGAACCTCGCCAAAATAGGCTCCGCCTACACCCTCAGGCCAGGCTCCGCCCACTGCGATTTCTCTGCGCCGCGCACATCACATCACGTGCTGGCGCCATTCTCCTATCCATCTCGATCTTTCCTTTTTTGGCAAACTCCGAGAGAGAGGGAGGGAGGGAGAGAGAAAGAGAGATATGTGTGGGCTTTCAGAGCTCTCTCTTCTCTTTTCCTGGCTCACGTCATCGTGTTGACGTCGTCTTGAAGAGGAGACGTGCGAGCAAAGTTTCTCCCTTTGAGGTTTTTCGACATATAAGGATAAGGCCTTTTGGGACAGAGATCTACACGAGGGGTCAGGCGACCTTTTCTGGAAGTTATGAAATTTTACGGGTTTCAGCTGAAAGTCTCTAATCCTACTACAGGATCTGAGTGACCTCTGGGAGTCTATAATAAAGAAAAATAAAGTTATCCCTGCAGAAGAAAATGATTAATCCAACCTTGGGGTACACAAGAAGCTCAAAATTATTCTCCGAAAAAGCTCAGATCTCTAAATTTCATCCAATTTCATAATCCCAGACAACTTTCTGTACTTTGAACATCACCAGGGGTGTGGTGATTACGAAAAAAAGTCGTGAATTTTTTTTCAAAGTGAAAAGATTAGAAAACGTGCGATTTTATGGTACGATACTGAGCAGACTTTTTCCTCTCGGAAAAATCTTGGGAAAATGTCTGGGATTCTTTTTCCAAGTAGTCCTAGGCTTGCAAAAAAACCGCGAGAAGCTCAAAAATTATTTTTCTTCAAGTTTTCAGAGTATATATAACTGTTCTGGAAGATTCTCGGGCAAAAGTCGAAATGGGCGTTAAAAGGGAGAGGCTCAAAAAAAGCCGCAGAAAGGTAGCAAAAAGGCAGCAAAACGGGGGCAAAAGGGGAGCAAAAAGGGTGCAAAAAGGCTGCAAAAAAAGCTTCTTCATCGAGCTTTCCATTTTTTTTTGGAATTTTACAGGCTCGAGAGATGGTGGAAAAAGGGAGGGGCAGCAAAAATGGTGCATAAGGGCCGAGAAAATGGTGGAAAAAGGCCGCAAAAAGGGACATTTCTATAAAGCCTTTTTCCACCCTTTTTGACTTTGCCTAACACCAAAAAATCGAAAAATAAATAATTTTCAAGAATTTTGTCGGTCATATTCCGATTTTTGCGACCCCTAGAGCACTAGAAAGCTTCACCTTCAACAAAAAAAAGTTTTTTCAACTAGAAAAGTGAAAAAAATACTCGAAAAACTCAACGAGCCGACCTCACTAACCAGGCTAATTGCTCGAGGAACAACAGAACTTTCGAATAAACTATTTGTGAGGAAGACCCGTTGCACTTTAGGCGAAAAGCCACCACATGTTGACGTCGGCCTAATTATGTGAAAGCCTAGGGAGAAAAAAAGTCGCATCGGAATATTGCACAATCTGAGGGCTGAATATCAAGAAAAAAGCTACAGGGAACATTTTTAGTGGCCACTATAGAGGTCTAAATGCTACTACTAGACCACTAAATATTTTAGTAGCCACTTTAGGGGTCACTGGATCAACATAACTGGCCCGATCTGTTTATTTTAAAATTAGAGTTACTGGAAGGAATACTGGATGGAAAATTACTGAAGTGGCCACTAAAACGAAAAGTAGTGACCACTTTAGTGTCCTCTCCAAGTGGTCCTTGACCTCTATAGTGGCCACTAAAAATTATCCCAGTCTCGTCATAAATAAGAATGGAAAATACTCCAAGCTCAAAAAAAGAAGCCGAAATCGGCATCAGATCGCCCAAGGGATTAATCTGGGCCTAGTGGCGCCTTCTTGGAAAGTTCAAACAGCGGATTCCAGAATCTAAAGATAGTTTTTGGCGATCAAAAAGTGGGGATTCTTGATTTTGAAGCGAAACCTTGAAAAAAAAAGTTTTGATCATGTAAATTTATGTAAATTTTGAAAGAACAGTAGAAAAAAAGTCGATGAATCAAAAAAATAAAAAAACTTTCTGACATCATACAGGTGGAACTTTGGCTCTAATTAATTACTATGATGAGAAAAACCTAGTTAATTTTAGATTGAAAAAAATCGCTTCGATCTGCAAGGCAGCTGTTAAAAAAATCCTATTTTCCAAACTTCTAGACTCTTTTGAAAAAGAAAAAAACCCTGAACTTGAAAAAATTCTAGAAATTCGAAAAAAACCTTCCAATCTAAGTGGAGTTGTTAAAATTTCATTTCTAACGAATTTTCAGATTTTTTTAAAAACTAGAAAAAAATCTGAAAGTTTGAAAAAAAGAGTGAAAAAAATCTTCAAATTTCAGAGCGAAACTTCAAAAACTTTTCTATACAAAAAAACTGTTAAAAATTCAATCAAATTTCCCGATCTTTGAATCTGGAAATATTAAAGAAAGTGTAAAAAAAAATCCTCAATTTTAGGGCGAAATTGAAAAAAAACCATTTCAAACCAAAGAGCAGCTGTTAAAAATTCAAATTTCAAAAGTTTTCCGATTTTTTGAACCTAGGAAAGGGCCTGAAAATTCAACGGAGATGTAAAAATATTGCTCAGCTTAGCGAAATTCATCAGATTGGCAGATATTTTTTAACTTCGTGTCGAAAATAGTTTCCACGAAGTCCATAATTTTCTCTAACTCTCCAAAATCTAGTTATCTCTCTCCCTCTCTGACAGCTATTTTGATTCAGTACAACTAAAGGATTCGTGGAAAATAATTTTCTTGGACCAAATTATTCAGTACCACCGTTCTTTGACGTTTCAGCGAGCAAATAAAAGAAAAAGAAATAAAAGAGGCAATAAAAAGGTCAGAAGAGCAAGAAGCACCGACGGCGGCACGTCATCCGTGTTTTCCGATGGACGTCTTCCGGCCGCCAGACAGGGCTCTCTCCTCTTTACACACTCTCTCGACGGCCCACGCGCCTCCAATTTCCGGATGATATCATTGACAGGATGACGTCATCAGAGTTGTTTCCTTATTTGGTCGGCTCAAGAGCTTAATTGCGCCAAAGACTTCCTCAATCTTGCAAGGATTCTCAAATTAGGCGAATTTCGAGTCGTTTTTTTTGCCGGATTTTCTCGAAAACAGAATAAATTTTTTTTTGGAACTAGTGATTATCGTGAGAGCTTGTTCTTTGCTTCCAACCAGAGTAACCAAAAAAGATTGGATTAGGGGGGAAAGATTGGAAAGCGCGTGGAAAACAGCGGTTTTTCTCACCGAGTTCTTTGAGTTTTGTTGCAACAAGGAAGGTTTTCTTTGGAATTTCCTATAAATGTTTCCAAGTTTTTTGAAGCCTTGAGGCTATTTTAAGTCCAATTGAAGCCTATACTTGAGGCTATTTTTAGTCAAAAAAAGCTGGAAATTTTTATTTTTGTGGTTCTTGTTTCAAAATTTGCGTTCTGAAAAGAAGAAAGCTTGAAATCATGTACCAAAAAAAAGCGAAAAATCAGGATTCAGAAAAAAAAGGTCGTAAACGATTAAGAGCTTCATCTAACCTCCAGATTCTCTAGAAAACGGTCCAGGACCTTCATTTATCCAAAAAAGAACCGAAAAATCAAAATCAACTAAAAATTTCATAATTAAATATTAAAAAAGGCCATTTTTCAACGAAAATTTGCGCTCCAAAGACAAAATCGCACAAAAAAAATACAAAAATGAAATCAAAGATTTATGTTTGGCCTATCGAATGAATTACACGTGAATCTTTTTTTCCCCATAGACTTTCACCTTTTTGGACTTCTGGAATAATTTTTTTAACTTCAAAAAAACCACAAGAATTTTTTTCCACACAAGCTTTTGAACGTAAAAAAATTCGAAATTTTTTTAGTAAAAATCGTGACAAAGAGGTATTTCAAAAAAATTTTTTTGAAATTTCTAAAAATATACTTAAACGTTTCTAGATGTACTAAGCACACAGCTTCTGAAAATCTCAATCTGAAAAATGTCCTAGTTTTCCAGAAAAAATGGCTCAAAGTTTAAAAAATCTTATCAAAGGCTTACAAAGATCAATTTGAGCTATTCCATCTCAAAAAATCAGAATTTTCCACATTCATTCATTTATTCGTGTCACTAAAGAACAAAAAAACAGAGAAGAAAGTGTTGGAGTAAAGTTTAACCAAACTTTTATACAGATTGAGGCTTCTGGAGCAGTATAACAAAACTCCAGGGGTTCAAAAAAAAAAGCTTCCTTGTTGGGAAAAGCCGAGCCAACCTAATCATCCAAACTCTACACTGGGTCTAAATTTAGCCACTGAAACATAGTTTCAACTTGCTATTTTAGGTGAGGGGGGCTCGGATTGACGTCAGGCCTTATATTGAATAACTCGGGCGGGAAAAGTTACCGAGTCTTTTTCTCTCGCAGGGGGGGAGGCCTATGAATAAATGAGAGAAGCCGTGCGAAGCCTTTTTTATTCTTTGTCCTTCTCTCTTTTTGTTATTCGATGACGCCGGTCCGAAAGTGCGGACCGAGGAAGTGTTCGCGGCCCGAAAAATTGGGATAAAAGCCGGAAAAAAGACTCGTCATTGAGTAGGCGTCCTTGCAGAAGACCAAAAACTTGACGAGGAATTTTTGAGGAGGACTTCAAAGATTATATCGCTATCAAACTACAGCTTTGAAGAGTTTTTTGATGTTTTTGTCTTAACTGTTCTCAATGTGAGAATCGAAAAAGCTTAAATCCAGTTATTCTTGATTAGCTAGGCGTGCTTTTCCAGAAAAACACTAAGCAAAAATTTTTTTAGAGATACTACGAAATTTTTTTAGTAATTTTTTTCTAACCTACAAGTTCTGTCAATTTTTTTCCATAAATAAAATTTTCGAAAAAAATCTCAAAAATGAGTTCTTTTTCGATTAACTAGCTGTTCTTTCAAAAAGGCCGAAACAAAAACCGGGCAAATTTTTTTCCGATGTTTTGAGAAACTTCAAAAAAAGCTGTTAAAATCTACAAAATTTTGTATAATTCAAGAATAAATTAATAATTTTTTTCAAAAAAAGCCAAAAAAATGATTATATTCTCAGTAACCGTTCTTGCAGAAAGCAAAAGAAAAAAACTGAGAAAAAAACTTTCCGAGTTAAAAAAATTTATTGAAACTGGTTACCTACAATCTTTGTAGATCTTCTTCAATGAATAAAAAAATTTTTTTCCGGAAAAAAAGCAAAAAAATGACAATTCACCGATGATTCCTTCTTGCAGAAGATTAAAGGCAAACTCCAAAATTTTTTAAAAAACTAAGATAAGCAAAAAAAATACA